ATTTTTTTTTTAGGTACTGTTAAAAAAGTCTCCCGGGACCAGCGCCTTGGTGCAGTGCTGGCATCCCATATGGGCGTCAGTTCTAGTTCCGGCTGTTCCTCTTCCAATCCAGCTCTCTGCTGTGGCCTGGGAAAGCAGTGGAAGATGGCCCAAGTCCTTGGGCCCCTGCATCCATGTGGGAGACCTGGAAGAAGCTCCTGGCTTCAGATCAGCACAGCTCCAGCCGTTGCGGCCCATCTGGGGAGTGAACCAGCAGATGGAAGACTTCTCTCTCTCTCTCTGCCTCTCTGTAACTTTGCCTTTCAAATAAATAAATCTTAAAAAACAAACAAACAAACAAACAAAACAAAAAACTACAGAAGCACAGAGGCTTAAGAAAAATTAATTTCTCACAATTTTGAGAAATAATGCTAAAGTGATTAAAAAAAGACTACCAAGTTCAACACAGTTTGTGACATGTTATTTCAAAGAGGCAAGAGAAGAGCCCGCGTCTGTCTCCCTCACACTCATGGCAGCCAGTTCCAGAGCCTCAGCTGCGCACAAGCCCTGCCGGGGGCCCAGGCGCACTCTCCAGCACAGCTTCAGGCAGACTACACAGTGCCCGCAGAAGCACAGCCCGACTCAAGTGAGAAACCCTGTCCTTCCCTGAGTTCATTCATTAAATGTCCTGATGCAGCCTAACGATCGAATTCCATCCAAACAGAAGCCCAGTCCTAAGAGAACAACTAGAATTGGAAATTTTAGACAGTGAGCACCAGAGGAGGGCTGCGACTGTCCGAGGCAAGAACAGCGCTCCACCTTGAGGAGGGGGCTTCAGCTTGCAGGGTAGCGGCAGGAGGGGCAGAACCCAACCAAGTGAGTGGGGAGGGGGCCCGGGCACCTTGCAGGCAAGAATGGTTTAACTGAAGCCTTTGGGTGATCCCAACAGGCAGAAAGGAGGGAAAATACCAGGGCCTCAGAGTGAACACCCAAATGCGAGGAAAACAGCTACAGAAGAGCCTGGGAGAATTCGTGGTGAACCAGACACCTGGATTCAAATCCCAGTTCTGCAATGTGATGGCACCACAAGTAACTCAACAGAACATCAGCAATCCATCACCTGCTGCCCTGTGAGGCTGAGGAGATGGTTAGACACGTGCACGGCCTCCTTCCAGAAACAGAGATTCATGGCTTAGCAAAATAAGGCAAATTTAAATCATGGAGGCTGGAAGAAAAGTAACAAGATGGAAGAAGGAAACAAAGTATGAGTTTCAGGCTAGGTCAGAAGATTACCTCTCAAGACAATTCCTTTTACCAATGAGCCACACATTAACTAAATTTTAGCAGCTGATTTGAAGGAGTAGTAGTCGGTTAGGAGGCTGCAGACACAAGCAGACAGAACCAGCTCCCAGCTCCTTGGGTACAGGCGGCCCCACCTCCAGGGAGCAGTGGGAGGTGCCTTTTCTGAGGGCTGCTCCAGGGGACGGTCTCCCTCAGGACTCACCACGCCTTCTCACACTCAGCAACAGCTGAGGGAATCCCACAGGGCAAGTTCAGAGAAGTCACTCTTTGGGTCCACCATAAGATGATTCCGATACACTCACGACTTTGGGTTAAGCCAAGTATTGGTTTCAAAGTTTCTCGGGAATGCTGAACTCAGAACCCTTGAGGAAATTCTGTTAAAATCCACCCCACACAGGCTCCTGGCAGAGACTGAGGAGCAGCTGAAAGATCGTCCAGCTGCCATTTGCGTCAGCAACCAGCTTAACGAGTGTTGCTGTGGATTCATTCTGAGAGGAGAAGTGCAGTGGTGCCAAGAGGCACAGAGTCACCACACAGACCCCAGGAGTTGGGTGAAAGCAGGCCAGAGGAGAGCAGCCCGCAGACTCATTTATTTCAGTTGGTGCAGCAGCTTATATAGCCGAGGCAGCCAATCCGGTCAAGGGTGGTTTATGCCCTAACCAATCACAGCCTATTGCCAGGCAGGCTCTGTTGCCAGGTGGTTTCCAAAGCCATCCAATCACACCCTGTTGCCAGGCAGGCGCCATTGCCAGTGGCCATCTTGGCATGGCCTTCTCATTCCACCACAAAGGAGGAGCAGCACTGGGGTGCCTGGTGAGAACAGCACAGCCTGAAGACAGGTCAGGACAGAAGGGGCTCAGCCCAGGGCTCCAACAGCAACGCTGACCACAGGCTAGGGCTGTAAAGTACCCGGCTCCGTGCCCACATGTCAGTGTTTGGGAAGCAGAAACCACCAAAGGCCTGGGCTGGGTTCCTAGCCACGGGCAGACACAGCTAACAGCTGCTGAGTGTGTGCTGTGTGCCGGCATCTAAGAAGCACACGAGCTTGCATTCCCTGGCTTTACCCTCCTGGTAACTGTGAGCACACTGAGACCGAGGTTCAAGTGTTTGCCAGAAGCCAAGTTATCCCAACTGGTGGAGGAGGACTTGAACCCAGGCAGACTTGAACCCTGTCCTCAGGGCAAAACAAGCTGTCATGCTCATCAAGGCAAGTGTCTGACCACCACCCCCAGTAAAGAAAGCTTCACAAAAAACCTGAACCTTGGGGCTGGCGCTGCAGTGCAGTGGGTTAAAGTCCCAGCCTGCAATGCCGACATCCCATGTGAGCACTGGTTTGAGTTCTGGCTGCTCCACTTCCCATCCAGCTCTCCATTATAGCCTGGGAAAGCAGTGGAAGATGGCCTAAATCCTTGGGCCCCTGCACCTGTGTGGGAGACAGGGAAGAAGCTCCTGGCTCCTGGCTTCGGATCAGCTTGGCTCTGGCTATTGGGGTTATTTGGGGAGTGAACCAGCGGAATGGAGGACTTCTCTCTCTGGCTCTACCTCTCTGTAACTCTGCCTTTCAAATAAATAAAATAAATCTTAAAAAAACCTGAACCTGCTCAATATTCTCAAATATTCAAGCAACTGATCAACAAAGGAAACTATTTAAATGGATCACAAGCCTATTCTGACTCACTGGAAACCACTGACAAGGGTGTCTCTGAAGTAGGCACTATGTGTGGCCCTTACCACTGTGGCGACTACTGTAACCCCGTGGTCATCCGACCAGTTATGGTAGGATTGACAATATCAACCATTTTGATCAATACTGATAAAGCTTTAAGCCAGGATTTGGCAAACTGTAGCCTGTTGGAGTCCTGTTCTCCCAACAGCTCTCTGTGAGCCTGTCCTTTACCTCCTCTGAGGGTAAATCAAGCACTGGACATGCAAACCAAAGACAAGCAGAGTCTAATAATGGCCAGACAAGAGAAGTCAAGAAGACACAACAGGGACCAGCACTGCGGCACAGGGAGTTAAGCCACTGCTTGCTTTGCCAGTGTCTCCCACCGGAGCACTTTTTCGAGTCCCAGATGCTCCCCTTCTAATACGGCTTCCTGCCAATGTGCCTGGGAAGGCAGAGGATGCCCAAGTGCTTGAGCCCCTGCCACCCACGTGGGAGACTTGGGTGGAGCTCCCAGCTCCTGGCTTAGGCAGGGCCAGCCTTGGCTGTTGCAGCCATCTGGGGACTGAACCAGTGGATGCAAGATCTCTCTTCTCTGTGTCTCTCCCTCTCGGTCACTTTACCTTTCAAATAAATAAATCTTAAAACAAGAACAAAAAAGATGAACCACACAACAGTCAGGGCAGGGGTTAGGGTATTTCCTAGTTTCCTGGAAACAATCCACATAAATGCAGGAGAAACACACCAGCTCCCTGGGCCCATCGATCCTGAGACAGAATGCTGGATCCACAGGTACACGTGCTACTCTGAAATGCAAGTCGTCAGAAATCAACACCCAGTGCCTAGTATGTGCCACGGTACACGGTTCTCCTCTGACTCTGGCCCCAACACCATGAGCCCGTGTCCCGCAGTCAGTGTTACCCACTCACTCGTCCAGTGTCCTCCAATATCACACTGCTTTCCACTAATAAGCGCGAACCTTTCAATACTTTTATCACATCTTCAAAGCGACTCTTTTCCTCGCTTCAGTGGCAACTCTGGAAAGACAAGCTAATGCAGCTTTCAGAAAACGCCACTGTACCCGGCACGGCGACACAGGCAGGCACCTCACCAAGTACAGCGTCTCCAGCAGCACTACTGAGGGTTAACCATGTGGTAAGTCTGTGGAGAGCCCCAACGCATCACGGCCGCCACTGTCCGTGCCATCTCCACAGCCCCACTGCCTGTGCCCAACATTCCCAGCTACTTCCCCAGAATTCAGCCCTGGAGCTGCAGCAGTTCCTGTAGTGGCCACACTCCCACCAGAGTGCTGCAGACCTGCCCTAACCCTTCAACTACCTGCCAGTGCTGCCTGACAACCCTTCCAGGAATCAGTAAGATTCAGTTACCTAAGAAACGCAAGACTTTCAACACACCTGAAGGACTCCTGCTGTGCAGCGCTACTGTGCCTCTCTGAACCCTAGCTTCCACTTCCATCTCCACACACAGCTGTCCTGCTGCCTCAGCAGGGCTCCTGGAGCGACAGCCAGTGAAAACCAGCGCTAACACAACTCAAAATGGCCGCAGGGCAGTCAAAAAGGACAAGAACCTTTTCCTGAGCCTCAGACTTGCCGGCATCTCAGAGGCTGCCCCGGGACACCACGACAGGAACATTTTCCAGAATCTAACACTGACTTCGAAGGTGCGAGAACTGCTGAGCGGTCCATCTGCCTCCTGACCTGGATATCGACTTGCCACCCTTTCCAACCACTGGCCCTGCCCACGTCCCCAGAGCCCTCAGCTGCGGGCTCCCCTCTCTTCCTAAAAGCCACAGTCCACCTCCCACGCAGGATGAACCTGTGAACCCAGGTTTGCATATCTAGTCTGCACCCGATTAAGACTGCCTTGGCTGTAATTGTAACCTTACCTATGGTTTCTTGGGTTATACCAGGAAGTCATGCGACAACACAAACCAGAATCACCCCCACTACGCACACCAACAGTAACTTGGTCTTGAAAGGACGTCCTTCGCTGCGACCCAGCAGGCTTGGGCAGCGCCGACCCAGGCCCCACTCACCGTTGGACAGCGCCTGCTGCAGCTCGTTGTCCGAGATGACCCCGCTCCTGTCTTTATCGACCCTGCAAGAACAGAGAGACCCGGAAAGCTGGCGACGGAGGCGCAGGAAGAGCCGGACACGGCGAACACCAGCGCCGCGTCTGCCCGCAGCCCACGCGAGTCCGCGACGTCCCAGGCTGACCCTCGGCTCGCCGCGCTCCTCGCCTCCACCGGAGACAAGCAAACAGCCCGGGTCCGAGCCCGGACTTGCCCGAGAGGCTGAATCATCGGCCCTCCGTCCCCGCCTCCAGCTCCCTCCGTCCCGCCCGGAAGCTCCAGCCAACAGGAAAGCACTCCCGGACAGTCAGGTCGCCCCGGGCCCTGAGGCACTCGGCGGACGGCAGGACAGGGGCGCCGGCGCCGCTGCCATCTTGGCAGCCCCGGAGCAGTCCCTGGGTGACCCTCCCCGGGAGACCCTCGGGAGGGCAGGAACCCGCTCGCAGCACCGGCTTCGCGGCGGCCCGGGGAGGGGGCGAGGCCGACCAGGACTCGGAGGGGGCGCCCTGAGGCTTCGGCGGTGGACGCTGCCCTTCGGGAGGCCTCACCTCTGGAAGACGTTCCATAGGAAGCTCTGGTCCGGCAGCGCCGCGCCCGCAGCAGGGCCGGGGCCGGCCCCGGGGCCGGGGCGGTAGGAGTAGGCGGCCATCGGCCGAGAAGACACTGGGCTGAGGCGCCGGCGGCGACGCGAACGACTCGGGGCGGCTCCGCTTCCGCTGGGCGTTGCTTGAACGCGTCACTTCCGGGGACACAGGAAGTACGTATCCCCGGGTCACGCGGCTCGGCGTGGTGGATCCCCTTGTCGCTCCGTTGCTGGGCAACGGCCGGGCGCCTGGGCAAGGAAGGTGTTCCGCGCGTGCGCGGTGCGGGACGTGCGTCCCGAGTGTCTGGGGGCGATGCGGGGATGGAGCGGGAGCGGCTAGTGGCCGGTGTCCGGCGAGCACGATGTGGCGCTGCCTGCATTCTTGTGAACTGTTCCCGCCTCCCGCTCAGGGCTTCCTGGTGTGGGTCAGGCCGCACCGTGCAGGGACCCGCCCGGCGCCTGCCTGCCTGGGCGCCCCTGGGCCTCTCGCGGCGGCCACGCAACCCCGCAGTCCGCAGCGCCGGGCACGGGTTCCGAGCTGGGAACCGCTGGGCGTGGGGCGGCTGACGCCTGGGTTTTCCTCACGGCCGCGGCGGGCTGTGCCGTCGGGTTCAGGCCTACTGCAGGGCTTTCGGTTTGCGAACGCGGGGCCCGGGGTCCGCGGGTGCGGTCCTCTCTCGGGCTTCGCCTCAGTGCTGCGGGGCCGGCCGAGGCCTGGCCGGGTTCCCTGGCCGCGGCTGCTCCCGCTGGCCCTGATGTATTATTCAGCGCGGCCGCCAGGCGCCAGCCGCCGAGCTGTGTCCCAGTTTTCTCTTCCTCGCGTTTTAACGATGGTCTGCGCCGTTGGCGTTCGCCCAGGGTATTAGTCCGCAAACCGCTGCAAGCTCTTCTCCTGAGGTGATGATCAAGCGACTCCCGGTTTCCTCCAAGAATCCCGTCACTAGTTGAACGCCCCGCGTCTGACCTGTGGCTTGAGGCCGCCTCAGCCTCCGGCCTCCGGCACTGCAGATGTTAACAACCCCATTGGTGGGTTTCCCAAGACAGGGAAACCTCGGCGAGTAACTGTCAGCGGCAGAGACCCCACACCCACACCCAAGCGCTCGTCCTGGATTCGCGGGTGGGACACGCCCTCGCTCGGAGAGGGCCTCTGACCCCCCTGCCAGGCTCTCGGTCCGTGTTTCACTGAAGCCGTGGCTCAGAGGCTAAGGGAGCTGTCTACAGGTGAACAGGCAGGAAGAGATGCAGCCAGATCTCTGCTTTGCCTACACCGTAGTGGCAGCGAGGCTAAACTTTGAAATACCACCCGTGTGTATCCATGTAAAATGTACAAACGGGTGAGTCCAGAAAGCCAAGTCCTGACTCATTCGGATGACATAGCTTCAGTCAGTTCCTTCCCGTCAACCCTGGTCTGCATGGAATCTCTAGTCTGGGGGAGGCCCAGTGCGCCTAAGAAATGACCTTGCCTGGGACAAGGTCTCCACGCTCCTGTGCCACTGCGGAGGTCACTGCCCGAGCCGGCAGCACTGCAGACGCTGTGTGCCAGGAGAGCATCGTCTCCCTGCAGTGCTATCGCCTCGCCCGTCGCAGGTTCAGTTCTCTCCAGACCAGCTCTGTGCTAAGCTTTCCAGGAGTTGAGAAAGTTACCGAAACAACACTCCCCGCGCCCTTCATTAACGTTCATCACTTCTTGTATCCAAGGACTGGGCCAGTCTTTCCTTCGGTCTGATTCTCAGCTAATTCCAAAGTGCCCAGCATCTCTGCAGCGTTCCACGGTGCATGCGCCGCTTCACATGCCAGCCCTCAGCAAACGCCTGCTAAATGAATCAGGCGCCCATGTGAGTGGACATGCACACACCCGCACACACAGTGTGGAGCTTTGGTGTATTTAAATCCCTCTGAAGCCACTGTGTGCATGACTTGTCTTCCGAGGTCTCTGACACAACGCACACCGAGGGCCTTTCCCGTGCCGGTCACCCTTTGCCCAGGGGCTTCACCTGGTGGCAGCAGTGCAGGCTGCCACGCGTGTCTCTGGATGCAGCCCTAGCTAGGAAACGCATGAGCCGAGCTGCGCAGGTGGGAGCTGCCCCCACAGCTGGACCCCTGGTGCCTATCTCACCTCCATTCTTCCAGCTGATGGCCCAGGATCTCCTTCCAAATTCCTGTCTCTGCCTGTGGACCCCAATCTGAGGGAATTACAGTCTTTCATTTCAGATTTAATTTTTCAGTTTCAGGGACTGGCTTCAGAAATTCAGTTTGGAAATACGTAAAACACATACATGATTTCCCCAAGGTTTCACTTTGGGTATTCAGCCGCACTCCCAATCTTATGCCCTCTTCCCTAACAACCACTTCACTTATTTTTCCTAACTAGGGTTTTAAGGAAAAGGAAAGCAAGCATGCATTTTCACTGTACAATTTACTCTGCCCTGGCCCTCATCACCAACAGGCCTTCCTCATCCTGCCTCAGGGCTGGAACCCCAGGGAAGGACATTTGTGTCATTTGCAGTAGCATAAATGTGATGGGGAACTAACTTGGTGCACAATGCTGTTTACTACTTTGCTGGTTTCTTGCAGGGCTGCTGCGTCACAGGGAAAATGTGCTTTCGTTGGATGCAGCATCTGCTTTTCCACCTGCAATGTGTGTGTCCTGCAATCCCACAGCTTCACAAAGTATGATGCAAACTTTTGGGTGCTTGCCAATCACACAGGTGAGAAACTGTATATACTGCCTTCTTATTTAAACAGCTCCCTCTTGCCACCCGGTAACGCCTGCAGGGCTCTCTGTCGAGACGTTAGTTTGCCTACTCTGCACCGTGCACGAATGGAATCACACAGATGTACCCTTTTTCTGAATGACTTTGAGATTCACCTACTCTGCTGTGCGTACAACTCATTCTTTCTCACTGCAGGGGAGACTCCCACTGTTGGGCATAACCCAACTGTTCCCCGTAGTGATGACGTGTTTCCTTTAGCTGCTAACAGAGACATCAGTTTCAAAAAGAAAGAAAAAACAACAGCAAACCCTACATTTAATATATGACTCAAAACTCCTAGGTCATTTTTAATGGTTAGATTTCCATGAACCTTCTGCTTTTATTACATTTCAGTTCAAGGACCTAAACACAGTGGCTCTGTATTTATCACATGCAAACTCTTCTACCCAACTGTCAAGTACCAAAACTCAGTAGAGTTTAGCCTTTGAGGAACAAGGTACTGCTGAGCATGGGACATGGGAAGCAAATGTACCACCTGTCCCCTGGAGGTCCATGACTTGACCTCCAGGGCACAGAAGACAAAGCCTTCAAATTCAAAATCAGAGTCCAGAGCTGTAGCATGGCGGGTAAGGCCGCCACCTGCAGTGCCAGCATCCCATGTCGGCACCAATTTGAGTCCCAGCTGCTCTACTTCTGATCTAGCTCTTTGCTATGGCCTGGGAAAACAGCGGGAGATGCTCCAGGTCCCTGGGCCCCTGCACCTGTGTGGGAGACCCAGAAGAAGCTCCTGGCTCCAAATAGGCCCAGCTCTGGCTATGTAGCTGTTAGGGGAGTGAACTGGCGGATGGAAGACTTCTCTCTCTCTGCCTCTCTGAAGCTTTGCCTTTAAAATAAATAAGTAAAATAAATAAGTAAATAAATCTTAAAAAATTTTTTTTTAAAAAGCAAAAAGCAAAGCATGTTGCTGCCTTGTTTGCTGAGTAAAGTGTTTCTACCAAAAAGTTACTTTAAGGAACAAATTTGTAATAGTTCCTAGTGATGATTTTTGAAAAAAATAGATTCATAGTTTAAAGCAAGCCAGCTCTGGGGCTGGCATTGTGGCCTAGCGGGTTAAGCCACTCCCTACAATGCCAGATTCCATATGGATGCTGGTTCATGTCCCAGCTGCTCCACTTCTGATCCAGCTCCCTGCTGATGGCCTGGGAAAAGCTGCAGAAGATGGCTCAAGTGTTCTGAATCCCTGCTACTCACGTGGAAGACCTGGAAGAGCCTCCTGGCTCGTGGCTTTGGCCTGACCCAGCCATGTGGGGAGTGAACCAGCAGATGGATGGTCTCGTTCTCTCTCCTCCTCTCTGTTGACTTTCAAATACATAAACAAATCTTATAAAAAATAATAAAAGTTGAGCCAGATATATAAAGAAATGCAGTTTTGTTTCACATTTGGTTATTTCAATACTTTATGACACAGGTTCATCTATTAAACCATTGGCCAAGAACAATGGGGAAATGTTAGTTTTCTTCATCTGCTGTCAGGCATCAAAATTCATTTTTACTTAAAGTACAACAGAATTTCTAGAATTTAACAGAATAAAAAGACAACTGCATTTACTATTTTAGGGCAACAAACATGCCTGAGGCAAGTGGAACAGTATTTTAAATGGATGTGCCCAGCTGTACAGTTTCACAAGAAGGAAGCAAAGGGACAGGCAAGCACTGCCTGGTGCTATTGAGATGACATGGACACACGCAGGGGCTATTGTACATAATCACAAACGCTGCTTCTGTAGCCTGTGGGTCTCCTCAGTAGGAGCGGATGGCAGGGGGCACTGTGGCGCAGTCAGCTTCGTTCAAGGTTTTGTCAATTACAGGTCTGTACTCCAGAGTGACCTGAAGAAGAAAAGCTGGTGTAAGAGAGCATGATAGACAAATAGCCATATCTTATGTTGCTTTAGAGAAAATTTAACTCTAAAAATAGATTACAGGCATGGAAATGTAAAGAAAAAGCTATCCACTAGAAAATTTTATGGTAACTGGCAAATGATCTATATGTGCAATAGAGCACTGACTATGTAAGTTATGATAAATCAGTACAGTAGATTAGAGCAATGTACCAGACTCTTAATGCTTTATGAAAATAATCATATCACAAAAAGTAGGTGAAAACCTGTACACATCACACTGTCATCCTATGTTTACACTATGTACTTTGTTTTTTCTCCTTGAAAGAAAGTATTTATACATAAACATAGGAAATAGTATGTATATATACATAAGGCTTGAAGGAAACATTTTAAAATAATGGGTTATTGATAGGCTCATGTGTATTTTATTCTTTCTATACTTTTAAAAGTGAATATTTATTTTCTAATAATAAAAACCAGAAAGTATTATTAAAAATAGACTTGTGCTGAGAGAAACAAGTCAGGCTTTTATCTGATATCAGAAATAAATTTTGAAATAAATTCTAAACATGACTGAATTAAAGACCTACTGGGCACCCCATGCAAATGACAAGGACAGAGCTCTACTTGATTCACAGAGACCCAGACAAATGCTTATAAGGTGATCTCTTACAAGCTGCGAAAGCGTTAAGGGCAAAAATGTTGTATCTTGGGGTTGGCGCAGTGGCATGAAGGTTAAGCCACCATCTGCAGTGTCAGCATCCCATATGGGCACTCATTTGAATTCTGACTGCTCCACTTCTGATCCAACTCCCTGCTAATGTGCCTGGGAAAGCACTGTAAGGTGGCTCAAGTACTTGGGCCCTTGCACACATGTGGGAGACATGGAAGAACTTCCTAGCTCTGGCCTGGTCCACCCCCAGATGTTGTGGCCATTTTGGGGAGTGAACCAGTGGACAGAACATCTCTGTCTCTCCCTCCCTCTCTCTGTAACTTTCAAATATAAAATAAATAAATCTTAAAAAAAATAAAAAGATGTACCTTAATTATTTCTGGGCCTCAGTGACCAGCAGAGGTGCCAAACGGCTGAATAATTCTTGAGGGGGATGAGACTGAGTCTGCTGGGACCCTCGCTGGCCGCCTCTGCTTGCTGCGAGCCCCGGGCACGCTACGGCTGCTTCTACGTGGTCCAGCCAATGGCTCCCTCTCTACCAGACGAGCTTCTGGGAGTGGCTGTGGCCTTGCCCCAAAGACCTGGGCTCCCTACTGGACTGCAGAATCACCATCTCCTTCCCTGCCACCAGGTGCAGGACACTTGCTCCCACCCCACGCCCTGCATCGGGTCCATGCCACACAGGCCGAGGCTCCTCTGAAGCAGGCCCCATGGGCTGGATCTGCTCCCAGGCCGTGTCCTCCATGGTGCCTCACACCTGGTGCAGAGCACGCCCCCACGTACCTTCCCAGTCTTGACATCAACGTAAGAAAGGGTGTGCTTCCTCCAGTGCTCCCCAAACGGCTTCTTCTGCTGCCCTTGAATAGGCTTGGAGTAATCGTACTCATCGATCCGCACCTGAGCCAGAAAAGCCACATGACAGAGCAACACCGTCAGGAAACACGGCAAACATGATGATGGTGCGCAAGCACCTCCGTCTGTGAGGCTGGCACCATGGACTTGGTGGAAGCTGCTGGCTGTGCTGCCACAGTGTGAGTTCAGGAGGACCCAGTTTTGCACAGCATCTTTGCAGCTCCTAGCAGGTGGACACTGGAATCAGACATCCCTTGTCTCTTCTGCTCCATACTCTGAGCGTTTGCCTCAACTTTCTTTTTCTTTCTGCCTTTTTAATGTAAATGTTTCAGCAATCACGTTAAAATTTTCAAAAACTCTAAAGTAGAAGCTGCATGCTCTTAAGGAAAACCTGGGGCACATTACTGGTACGACATATGAGAGCCTCTTCCGATAAAACAGAAAGCGCTAAACCCTTGGCTGTTCCTGCTGGGTGGGGCGCGGCTGCCTTGCAGCTCCTAGTTTCTGAGTGAGCGGCCATGGGCTAAGCACTCCTAGGGGATGCAGGTTCTGTCTGCCAAGCTGCAAGTGAACACAACAAAACCTAGCTCACCTCACCCCCATCAGAGGCCAACCTGGGGAGGCCTCAGTCCCACAGCATAGACTCTCTCCTCCCAATGGGCACAGGCAAACCCAGCTCAGCCTGACGCCTGGGAGGTGAACAGTGACGCTCCACAGTGAATGCGCGGCCAGTTTCTCCTGCTCTGCTGGTTTCCCAGAGCAAGCCCCACACTCTGGAGCGCAATCTGCCCATCTCCTGAGGCAGGAATCTTTGTGGTCCTTTCGTTGAGGTGGTTTACTCCCTTGCCACGCTTGTTGCTGTCGCGTGCTGAAGCACCCTCTTCTGTGCACAGCCACCTGTGTCAGCACCTGCAGGCCCTTCCCAGATCACAGCCCAGGCCTGAAACGGTGACTGACCTTCTGGAAGTCAGCAAACTGTCTGCACCTAGCTCTGGCCCTGGTGAGAGCCAGGCATGCTGTGCCAACAGAACTGGCCAGCACCAGCAGCAGGAGGCGCTGATCTAAAGCAAGAAGGCGCCACACTGGTGCTGAAAACCGTAAAAAAAAAAAAAAAAAAAAAAAAAGTATGAGAGCTACCAGAAAAAAAGGTCGTTTTCTTGATTGACTTCTGCCAAACGTAGAGAAAATGCAGGGGAATGGAGTAAATAAGCAGCCCATGTGAGCACGCCCCGAAGCACACCTTGTAATCCTCCCTGGCGTGGGCACCCCGAGACTCCTTCCGAGCCTCAGCTCCGTAGATGGTCTGCAGCGCACACAGCATCAGATTTTGCAGCTCCAGGGTCTCCACCAAGTCTGTATTCCAGACCATCCCTGGGGACATGCACAACCCAAGTCAGTGCTAAATGGGAAGCACAGGCCCACCCTGCGGAAGGCAGCGCCCCAACCACACGCGTGGAGCTGCAGACACTCACCCCTGTCAAACGTCTTCAGGTGCTTCAGGTCTCCGTAGAGCTGGCTGATCTTCTCACAGCCTTCCTGCAACACGCTCCCAACACGGAACACTGCAG